GCCGGTCTGCAGAAATTAACCGTAACCGTCGTCCTGACCCTTCAATAAATTCTGCCGCAGAGGTAGCACTAGGAGAAGAAGAAAATCGTAAGTTTTCATTTTCCGTTTAATGGGACCTGAATCCTGTACTACTGCCAAGACTACTGGGAGCTTGAGGGCTATACGCCCGAATTTGAAAAACAACAACAACGAACACTTGCCGGTTGCATCGCTGGGAAATGAACCTGAATGAACACGACACGCTTGATAATGAGATCTGGATGTGTTCTCTCGCCTTCGTGCCGAACAGTAATGGTCTTCCCCTTTAGATTAAATGAAACCTTATAACCTTTGTTCTTTTAGTAGCGGTTTAGGGGCGCTTGTATAACTCCCAGGGACTCTGGTTCGTAGGTCTTATCGTCCTTTTTCTTCAGCTCGGTGTAGAAATTTTCGAGAACTCGAGGGAGAGATTTTCAATGCCTTTCGGTTTTTTTTCTCGTTAGGCCACTTCAAGTACGTTCGGAGCTACGTTGGGGTCGATTTTGAGGTGTTTTTGTTTACTGCTGCTGCTTCTTCCTAAGAAGCCTTTGTTTGTCTGAACGGCAAACCTAGAAGTTTTATGGGACTCCATTACCCCAATGAGACCGATATTTTTAAAATTTAAATTTTCAGCTATCGATACAATTTGGGATAATTTGCACAGCTTCCTACCAATTAAAAGTGAGTATTTACGATAGCAGTATTATCAATAGAGAGAATATTGTTATTTGAGTTTCATGTTTAAAGCGATGATCGCTTCAAGCGTGAAGCTCGAATAACTACTGTAGTTTCTATCTTAATTTGTATACCATTGCTTAAATAGTCTTGAAGTTTTAGCGGTCGGCAGTGGACCAAAAAATCACAGGTATATGTCATTTTCGGGTAATCGATTGATACATAATTAATTATAATGAACGTTTAGAGTGTCTCCAAGCTCAAGGAATGGAAAATGGTGCAATTTCTGACGAACAAATCACTGCCTCTTCCCAATATACTGCTGATCACGCTCCTCATCAAGGGAGGCTTCACTTTTTAGAATCAGCAGCCAAGAGTGGCAGCTGGGTGGCTGCGACAGGGGATGCCAATCAGTGGCTCCAGATTGATCTGCGTACTTTGGGCACCAAAGTCACACGTGTGGCAACGCAAGGAAGTAACGGCGTTAATCATATCGAATGGGTAACCAATTACATGCTTCAGTACTGCGGCAACGATGGAGTAACTTTCCGCTATTACAGGGAGCAAGGGGAAACAGCAGATAAGGTACAACTAACTAGGTGTCCAAGTTTCAACAATCGATACAGTCAAATGCAAATTAATTGTTTTTTTTTTCCTTTTAATTAGTATCATTACAGTCTCACTCAGGCTTTCTCGTTCATAGCTCTCCTTTTTATTGTTTCTTGCAACTTTATTCTGTCTTATTGTTTCTTTTCCTTCCTTGGCAGTTTGACATACTACACAAATGCCATTAATGATGATCAAGCTTTTCCTTAAAAAAAATTTTGCTGGTGATGTCCAACCCTCTTACCTGTAAAGGCCAAGCGACGGGCTAAATGCATTTGAAACTAGAGTAAAGATTAATGCATTTAATCACAGTGGCTAATTCTTGCGATATAGTCGTAACCTGAGTCTACGGTTATTGTCAGTTCTCTTCCCACATTTAATATTCCTTACATCATTTGTTACTAGAATAGATATTGTATCCTGCTACATTACCGAAGACATTCAGAGCGCTATAGAGTAGTAGGGAAACTGATTGCGCTATTTAAATCTTTAACAAGATTTAATTTTGCTTATTCAGATTTTTACTGGAAACACAGACCAGGACACAGTCGTTTCTCATGATCTAAACCCTCCAATCAGGGCAAGTTTCATCCGTTTCGTACCAGTAGCTTGGCATTCTTGGATATCAATGAGAGTGGAACTCTACGGTTGTCAAGGTTCTATAGCTTTTCAAATCTAAAATAAATGTATGAAATTATTCGCTGCGCTTGAAAGCAAATAATTTACTGCCAATTTTAACCTTCGCTGAAAAAGAACGTTGGAACATCTGTTTTAAAGCATTTTCAAAGCAATTTGCTCTTATTGGGCAATTACCAGACCCATTTGAATCGATATCCCTGTGCGCCTCCGATTGGGTGCAAAAATTGTGGTATTGCTCTTTTGCTCCAAATCCATGAGTTACACCTGCTTGATTTGTTTTTGTGCCCTTCTCAAGAGAACTTGTTTGGCAACTGATCACCAAAATTGTGTAACAAAAAGTGCAGGTATCTTCAAAAACTTTCACTAAAAATGGACTGCAGGGCAAATAATAATGAGTTCGGTAGTGTCTTGGAAAAATAATGTAGTAATAAACCGTTACTTGAAAGAAAAATTTAGAGTATTTAAACGATCATACTACACTTCCAGAATGTCAACAGGCTCTCGGAATGGAGAATGGTCTCATCTCTGACGAGCAAATTACAGCTTCTTCTGAATGGGATGAAGATCATGCTGCAATCCAGGGCAGATTGCGCTTTCCGCCAACGACTGAGAAGGCAGGAGCTTGGGTAGTTCACACAACTGATGCCAATCAATGGCTTCAAGTTGATTTAGACAGTTTGTACACAACCGTAACTCGTGTAGCTGCACAAAGAAGAGAAGATAATGAAGAGTGGGTAACCAACTACAATCTGCAGTACGGTGATGATGGAGTGAACTTTCAGTACTACAGGGAAGAAGGGGAAACGGTAACCAAGGTAATTCATTGCTACTGGTCATTAGCAGGAAGAAGCATTTTAAATTTGTTATGCTTAAATGATATGTTTTTATATTTATTACGTACGAGGCAAAATTACTGATTGCTGATTGGCTGAGGGGCATAATTACTTGATCCTGATTGGTTTAGAGGTGCTTAACGAAGGTTATCCTTGAATGTTGTCGAAGGTTTTCAGCAACAATTGCTTCCCGTTTTATTGAGGCCGACGTGAGAGGAAGTATAAACAACAGTGAAAACAAAAACAAACTACTGGACAAGCATTATTCAAATGAGCAACTTGAATGCTTCGAAGTACCACAGTTGGACGAAGCGCTCGGCCAAGTCTTTGCCTAGCTGAGGAAGTAAAATGGTAACTGCGAGCACGAGCCAGGAAAGAGAAGACAAGAGGTGGTGAACTGCGGGCTAAACTTAGGCTTGCAACTCTTAAAATGTTTGTGACCGGCGAGAAGAAGGTTCTCAAAGGGGTTAACCGCTAACTGTCACTGGCCAAAAATTTAACCGTCAACCGTAAAAAACACAATATTTTTACCGTCAAATAAGCAAGCTGAAAATAGCCGTCAAAATTGAGAACTTAACGATTGACTAAATGGGGTCAAGTCATGCTGTTTTTAAATGAAATATTTGTTTACAAATATGTCCTTACCCGAGAAGGAGTGTTAATCAATAAATTAATATGAGTTTTGCACATGCACCAGTAATTATCAATTCAGGACAGAGTGAGTAGTTGGGGGCAATTCTTTGTACCCCCTGTAGAGCGCATTGCGGATCACGTGGGGACGCCGCGGAGTTATGTGTCATTCTTCAGTGTGAAATGACGCTGAAACTTTTTCCCACCCCTGCTCCTCGCCTTGTCCTCATGTTCTTTTATTTGGCCTTTTTGTGCCCTCACCTTTACTGGGCTGAATATTTTTATGTAACTATTGTGTTGAAAGTATTTTTGATAAACTTATTTTGTACATCATTTATGTGATTTTATATATTACAATTAAAGTGGCTATGGGCTTTTCCCATAGCCATTTTGATCCATATGGTATCTGTGTCGTCATTACCCAGTAAACAGAGCTCAGCCAATGCAGTACCCCAGGTTTTCGTAATATAAACGAGGGAAAGACATAGATGATGGTTTGTAAACTTCACTAAAATAGGTTTACGTGCAATTATTCCTTTAACTTGTGGTGTCCGGAGCAGGCGATTAATACGTCCAGCGGTGACTGAAGGGGAAGTTATTACGCTGATTATTAAAGACCAAAAACCTAATTTAAATCCACAAATTATAGGACTAATTGGATTTTTCAAATATGGGCAAAACTGTATTCTTTAATGAAAAATTACTATTAAATTTGCGCTTCAATTTCGTGTTATAAACGTCATTCCGAAAAATTAAACCGTCAACCGTCATATGACCCCAAATTTTACCGTCAACCGTCAGATTGGCCTATTTGTAACCGTCAACTCGCGAGAAGAGATGTCGCGTTTCTTTGTTACAGAAGCACTGAAATAAAAGTCCAGCAGAAGTGAAGACGACTGGGCCATTGTACCACGGTGTTATCGACAAGCCACAGATCAGCGTGTGGTATAAAAGGATGCCCGTGGGGAAAACACCAAATATCATCAGGCATTATGAAAACAATGAAAGGAAACTTACCTCTGAAAGATGTTTTCCCAGACAAAAAGAACTAAAAGAATGACCATTGTGCCAGAAAAGCGGTTATAAAGGAATTGAAAAGCTCCAGGATTCAGAAATGCGAGATAAAAACATCACTCGGGCCACAGCTGCGAGCGAGGATTAGACGACCTATGACTCCGGTGATTAAAACGAGCAAAATATTAATTGTGTTCAACATCATTGCCACAAATGCGAGACAAGTACTCCAACCTCTTTCCTCAGCTCAGCGAAAACAGCCTCCAGTCAAACCTACAATTTCAGCCTTTGCCACGTGATGCTCAACATCGCTGGAAGCCATTCTTCACAATCAAGTCTCAGCCAGAGCAAGTGAGGTTACAGAGGAATCTTTATGTCAGTTTCTGACTCTGATTTACCTATATTTAGTCCAGATTTTGAGCCCTATTTTTGTTGACAGCAACAGTTTACCGAAAAACTTTAACATAATTGAATCGATTGGTCAGTTCAGATGATTCTCATATGTCGCGGAATTGAACAGGCTGCCTAGAAGGAAAACCTGCTCGTGAATGGGATTCCCTCGAATAATTTTGCCCTTTATGTGATGAACAAGTAATCTCATGTGCCCTCGAGCTATTAAGGATTGGTTTCAAAATACGCGTGAAATTAATCATTAATCGCCCTCGGGTCCATACATTATGCAAATATTAAATGTAATTATTATTATTATATATATGTTATTCGCCGGCTGGGAGGTGCGTATGGTCTCGAAAATGCATTTTCAAGCCCGAGGTCACAGTTTTTCACTATACGGACCGACCCTAAGCCGGCAAATAACACGTTTATTTTTTTTCCTGCAGTAAACTGATTTCACAGATTACAAATGGGTTTGTTTACGTAGCTCTTGTCATTGAATCAGCTTGCGCGTCGTCTACGAACGATTTGTAAAAGATCTCGGCAACGAGCGAGTAACTAAGATAGTAGACAAAGAAAGATGTATTAAAGAACAGGTTTTTTTCGAACTACTTTATGTTAGTTGCATTTATTTCACCAGTTAAGCTCTCTAAAATTGTTTTTGCGTTGTGAGATTTCGTGCGAAGTTTGAAGTAAAGTTTTACTACAAAAACAATTTCTGTCAGTCGTTGCTTTTAAAATCACTTGAAATCACACTTTTCTACCGTAAATTGAATAGCAGAAAGCGAGGAAATTCGTTAAGTGTATTCCACAGAAATTCTCCTAAATATAGCAACGATCATGGAGGTAAACTCGACTGAAATTGACTCAAATTTTACGGGGAGAGAAACACAGGATTACGCGCCATTACAGCGCCAAGCTACAAACAACGAAGCAAACTCCCACAACTTCAAAACACTCAATTGAATTTACTTACAGCGACTTTCCTTGCCACTGTAAAGTGAACAGAGATAAACTTGCGATGACTAATCGTCGATGGACGTGTAAAAAAGGCAAAAGATTGACGATTACCGCTAACTTTTAGGAGCGAGATTTAGGCAGCGGGGAAAAAATCTGGCCCGTGGGCCGTATCGTAAAAAGCTGGACCGGTCACGTGCTTATGATTAGCCCTTCAAAATCGAGGATTTAGGAATCCGGCCCGTCCAGATGCTTGAGAAAAAAATAAATAGAAATGTTATACTTTTAAATTTTATATTTTTTCATACATTTTATTTGGATGAAATTTTATTTATCTCAAATAACCAAGACTCTCATTTAACAATTATTCCACGAGCGCGCGTGATGGTAGATAGCCAAAAAGCGCGAGTGGAATAACTGTTTATTAAAAACGCCCCCAAATGTAGAAAACTGGACTAAAATAGAAATAAAAGCGCCCCAAAATCGCGTGTACGCTTACCATATTTGTAGAGCATGGTGTAATAGCTCATAACCCATGATGACTAAGACAATGAAAACTCTCGAATTGCATTATCTAATGATAGATACAGTTTTTAGTAACAGGTGATATTCAATTTCGCCACGTTATAAAAGATGAAACTAGATGAGCCATCTATAACGTTTTGCCACCTTCTCAATTCAGGATTTTTCTGGAAGTGCAGGGGAATACAATCCCACTTACCACCAGCTCAACCCACCAATCAGGGCACAGTACATCCGTTTTCTACCAGTAGCCTGGTATGGTAACATAGCTATGAGAGTGGAACTCTATGGTTGTCAAGGTACAATACTGTTTTTTTTGTTTTTTGCTACAAAGTTTTTGGAACAAAATAATATTAGGGCATTCCGTTAAATGTAATCCTTTCTATGTCGTTTTCTCATTGGCTTAACACTGAAAATTCGACAATTCGAATTGTACGCATATTTAATGCTCTTTTCCATAAAAGACTTTTAACCCCATCCAGGGAAAACGGGCAGAGGGGATGTGGAGCAAGTACCTTTTCAGAACGCTTTAATGCTGAAAGCAAGGGAAAATTCGATACGACGTGTCGTTGTTCTAGTAAATTAAGGTTATTATGCCAAATAATAATTTAACTGGCACGTTTTCGAATTTTCAGTCGCCCTGTTTTAATTTGTTGTTAACTTTATTCAGTAGCTTTATATATTGTTTATGAATATTTTTAGGCCAATTTGAGTCGTTTTCAAAAAATTGTGAAATCAAAAATGGTGGATTCAAGGTAGTGGCTGTTTAGAAACAATGAGGATATTTTCCATGTTATATAACGCCTTCATTTCATGTTAGGCGCCTTAAATAGTAAGAGTAATAGAGGACATGTACCTTAAATGTACGATGTGCATTTATCATTTTGAGCTCCATTCCAAAGCCTTTATC